GTGACAAGTTGGGAGGAATCCGTTTTAAACGGTACGTGGAAATTGTGGGATTGTCGTCGGAACAGGTCAAAGAATACATTGAAAAGTACTTCAAGAAAGACGAAAAGACGAAGAACGATGTGCTTGAACATGTCATAAAAAATGAGAACCTCGTCAGTTTTGCTCATATTCCTAAGCTCTGTTATCTGTTGTGCTTCGAGATGGAGTATACCCTAACCAAATCAGGAAAGCCTGATGGCCTTCCTGTCTCAACAACCGACATCTACACCAAACTTATTGATATTTTTGAACTTAGGCACTGCGCCGAGTCAATACAGACAGAAAGAAATTCCGGAACAATTCAAGCATCCTCCTGTCATCAAGAACATTTTTGATAAATTATGAGAACTAGCGGCTAAACTGCTGCTCAAAAGTAAGCCAACCTTTGATGAAAAGGAGATAGAAGGCGTTTTTGAATTGGAAGAACTCAAGAAACTGAAAGGAAGCGGTCTTCAAAACATTTCAGCTTCACACATCTTACTGTCCAAGAATTCATGGCCGCCCGTTGGTTTGTAAAGGAAAATCGCAATCCAGCGGAGAAATGCTCTAAAATGGTTTTCCAATTCATGGCTGGGATTTTGTCAACTGAGGGAAACGAGGAACTCATGGCAAAATTAATGAATTCACTCCACATGGATCCGCATCTTCTAATAAAGTTTCTGAGTGAGTATCGAGACAAAGCCGATGAATTCACTGAAAGGTCCATCAGGAATCATCCCCAAGAGTTCTGTGCGTTTGAAGGCTGCTTTTATTTTAAGCACTTGTCAGATGCAATTCTGTCGGTAAAGCTTTACAGCATGCAAGCTGTAAGCTAACCAGACTAGTTTTGTGTAAAGATGAGATCACTGATACCGGTGTTGCCAGTCTATGTGAAGCTTTACAGCACCCAAGCCTTAAGCTAACCAAACTTAAGCTGACTCATAATAAGTTCACTGATGCTGATGTTGCCAGTCTTTGTGGAGCTTTAAAGCATCCAAGCTGTAAGCTAACCACACTAAATCTGTTCAATAATGAGATCACTGATGCTGGTGTTGTCAGTCTTTTTAAAGCTTTGGAACATCCAAGCTGTAAGCTAACCACTCTAAATGTAAAGATTGATATCTTCACTAATATCGGTGTTCCTAGGCTATGTGAACCTTTGCAGCATCTAAGCTGTAAAACAATCAATTTAAAAGTGCCTCACTTCATTAATTATGAATATCAGGGAAGTCTTCAAGCTTTAACCCAGAGACACCGACCAGGTTTACGCCTGTCTTTTTGGTATTTTCAAACTTAATATTTTATTAACCTTAACTGAATTGTTTTAGTTTTAAAAAATAAATGCTTGAAAGTAAATTTTTAATTTTGGGTCCAAGAGACTTACCAGGTAGTTAAAGTACTTTTAATCATCGGAGTGAAAAGCAACGCTCAATGTTAATAGAACCGCAAAAACATTGTAATAAAGTTTTTTATTGGCTACATGGTTCACTGTACTGGGTTTGTGGGTATAGACCACTCAAGGGTAGTGACAAGTAAGACTTAGGGTCAGGGGTGGGGTGGGTGGAAAAATTTTGCTGGGCCTACTGTGCATCTAAGGAAGTTTTGGGACTGAGACGTTTTGCTTGTTTCTCGAGTTAAGTACTGCAAAAAGAAGATTGTTTCTTTTACTTATCTTAAGCAACAATTTTTCGTCTAATTGTCCGCCATAACAGTGTGGCATTCGTTGCATAAATTAGTCATCCTCGTTTAAGTGCTTCAGCTTAGTTAGGTTATGTTCCAGATGAATAACATGTAGAGAGCTGGGTCGCCAGATAAAGAGGGAGTTTAAATTTTCCGTTTGAGAACGCAGCTTATGTAGCATACACCGCGAGTTTTGACTTTAGGATTCAGTTGCCGTATTTTGTCCGAAATTAGACTGCTTCACAGATTGGACATTTAGGGCCCTTATTTACAAGAGGTCTAACCCAAACCGCAGTTATACGGAAGCAGTGGGCCTCAGGGATTCTGTATAAGACAATTTATTTAATTAAATGAAGTTCCTGTACTGATAGCTTCCGGCCCTCCTGACACTGTTCATGAAGGTAAATGTTTAGTTAAAAGCTTCGGGTAAATTAAAGATGGCGTAGAACGTGGTTTTGTCAAATAACGGCTAAACTTTGTCTATATAACCAACCCTTAATATCATGACTCGGCTCAGGTCTGTTGACTGAGACGCAAAATGCATGGTGGTGGGAAACAGTTTGAATATAATAGAAGCACAGTCGACGCTGTGTTAATTGTTAATCAGTCACTTATGGCCGGGTATGGTGGGGTGACCGTTTACACAGGTTGGCCGTTTTATACCTGCATCAAGAGTCTCCGATATCGAAACGCGCGCAATGCATTCTGGGATCGTCTCATATAAAAAGTGGGCACCAAGCGTGACAGCGGCCATCTTGATAACTAAAGCATCGTCAACATTTATACACTTTTACCTCGCGATTTTACAATTTTTTCCAGTTTAAATTAGATCATAGTTTGTATATAGTTTTAATAATAGTTTGTATATAGTTTTCACTAGTTTGTATATAGTTTTCATATAGTTTTCTCGTCGTTTTTGGCGTGGAAATGAGCGAGACAAGTGAGCTTTCCCTCGAGGAAGTCAACACATGGAAGGTGGACGCTCTCAAGTTATTTTGCCGTAAACGAAATCTTAAAACTTCTGGAGCTAAAGCTGAACTTGTAGCCCGTGTGTTTGCAGCATCAGAGATGGGAATCCAAGTACAAGCATCGGCTAAAGAACTAATGTGCATCACGGAGTCTGAGAGAGCGAAGCTATTGTTTACTCCTGAGGGCAGCAAGCTTCCCGATCCTCTTGGGCTAAAGGACGGATGGATTGATGAAAAAGATGGGCTAACATCATGGCCTCCTATATTTCTAAGTGACATTACGAAATATCTGATGGCTGATCATCCTGGAAAGGATATTAAACTGCACGAACGGGTCATGAATGAGTACAAAGAGGGGAAAGCATACCGCTTATTTGACTCGGGCTTTCTGAAAGAAGTTTTCTACCATGAACTAGAAAATATGGATTTTTGCTTCTTGAAAGCAAAATGTACGCATTCGATGAAGGTTGGTGATACACCACATACATCATGGATTTGTTCAAGAAAAAATGGAGAGATTATCAGTGCCTACTGTACCTGTACTGCTGGGTATGTTAGACTTTCTGTTTTATAAGACTTTAACTTGTAACTGATGCAAAATTTAAGCCTAAAATATCATGTTTATCATATACCTCGATTTTATGACTAATGTTGTTGGTCTAAGCTCAATATATATTATACTTTAGAATGTTTAAAATATTATGTCTATCATATACCCTAACTATTTGTTATTTCTTGTTTCAGTATGAGTGGTTCTTGTATTCATGTGATGGCACTGCTGTTCAGAATTGAAGCAGCAAACCGTAATGGTATGACAAATCCTGCATGTACGTCCAAAGAGTGTGTGTGGAATGTTCCAATAGGAAACAAGACTGTAATCAAGCCCTCTAGAATTTGTGATATGGAGTGGAAGGCTTCAAAGCTAAATAAAGGTATGTTATTATGTTTAAAATTCTAAACAAAGTATTTACAGTATGTATACTGGATAGACATAAGTGTTATCTGGGGACATAAATAAGAAAGTTCTTATTAGCTTGTAACCTAGCAATTAATTTACTTTTATTTTGTGTTTTTCTAGAGACGACCAGACCTGCCATCGATAGTCGCCGAAAGTTATTCAATTCACATGAAGAGTTGAAGCCCCTGACTCCAAAAGGAAAGAGGAAGTCGTTTTATAATAATTTGAAGGACTTGTTGCCAGAATCGGCATTCATCAAATTAGCAACGGCTGAGTTTGAGGAACCGTGTTCAACTTCCGTTACAATAGAAATTAATACTGAAGTACCTGAATGTGTAATGCCTAAGTCATCAAAGAAAGACTTAAGTGCTGATGATATACATCTGATTGAACAAGGCACCATTGGTCAGTCTGAGAATGAGGCATGGCACGATTACAGAAAAGGCCGATTAACTGCCTCTAATTTCTATAGAGTGTACACAAAAGTTGAAACCCTTAAAACTAAGGGGGGTGATGCACAGGAACTAGTGGACACAATCCAGGGTAAAAGTAATGGACCATCGGAACATTTACCTGCTCTAAAATATGGAAGAAACATGGAGAAAGTTGCTAAGGATAAGTATGTGAAACTGTTTCAGAGGGAGCACAAAGATGCAAAATTCAGAGAGTGTGGACTATTTATTGATGAATCTGACCAATTCATTGGAGCATCCCCTGATCTGCTTGTTGAATGTTCCTGTTGTGGATTAGGGGTGCTAGAAGTGAAGTGCCCTTATTCTATTGTTAATGATTTACCATCAGAAGACAATCTTTCCTACCTGGTAAAGATTAATGGCAAAATTGTCTTGAAAGAGAAGCATGCATATTTTGCACAGATACAGGGACAAATGGCTGTGACAAAGAGAACATGGTGTCACTTCCTGGTCTACACCCAAAAGGGTTATCATCTGGAGCTAATCAAGTTCAATAATGATTACTGGGAAAAGATAAAGCAAAACCTAATTTGGTTTTATAATAAGTATTTAAGTGAATGAATGCTCGTTAATTATAACTTGATACAAAACTTTATTTACATGGTGTAAACACTAAAAATACATTTGTACATTTTATATACAATTTAGAATTTTTACAATTTCATATCTGGAAAAACTGGTCTGACAGTTCTAAATTGAACTCAAATAGTCTCTGAATAGAACAGTAAAATTGTCTGTTGTGGAAACTGGAATGGATGAATCAAATCATGAAATTTTATACAAGTAATGCATTGACCACACTTCAGTATGATTGAAAATGTTACAGTTTGATATTGTTTGCAGTTATATATATAGTAATAATAAATAATATATTATTTATTTGTGTTCAGCGACACATGAGCTGTGAAATGAAGAAAAATATTTACAAATTATATCTAATGATTGTAATCACTCTACCAGAATAATTTTTCTCTTGTGAGGTCCTTGTGGTGCAAATAATATAACAGTTCTTATTCAGAGTGCACATACTTAATAGCTGAAGCATTAAATGGTACTAAATCATACTAATACTTAAGTTTCTTGTTATGTACCATTATCAACACTATTTAGTATTATTTGGTACCATTTGTATGAAAGATTAAGTGATTGCACTCTATACTAGTTGCTAGTAAATACTTAGTAGAGCAGAGATTTTGAATAACATTTAACCTAAGAAAGAACTTAGACTAATACATATTGGTATCCTCTAAATTTATGAAGTTTATATTCTTTCATGGGTTAAATGCTGTCAATCTTTTTAGCTATTTGTACATTTCTTGTTAATCATTTTTTACCCAAGGGTCTATACAAGTTACATAAGGCTGCACAAATAAGTACAATGTTGTCTATACTGCCAAGCAGTGATATTGGTAGTTCATGCTTTATCAGTCTAAACGTCTTCAACCGTCTTATTGCTTGCTCAACAAAGATTCTAAGATTTGCAATTTCTTTTGTTTTAGCAACTTCAGCTTTAGTGAACTGCTCTTGTCCACGTTTACCAGGGGGGATGTGTAGTCTTGAGCTTCTGATTAAGAGGTCTTCAGCAATTGTGAATCCACGGTCTGCCATCACTTCATCGCCAGGTTCAATGATATCATAAAATGATGATTCTCTTGTCAGATGCACATCTGAAGTTCTCCCTCCCCATGCTTTGGATAAGAAATTGAAAAAACCATGTGGTGTTATTGATACCAACAGCTTAGCAGTGTTGTGATGCTTGTAGTCTGACCACGTAGCTGCTCTAAGGTTTGGGTCGCTTGGGGTTTCAATAAATATTTCTGTGCAATCAATGATGTGGCGTACATTAGAGTAGCCTGGCTTTTTAAACTTTGCGGGCAAAGTTGCTTTCACAACATCGATGGAGGGATTGTAAACCAAACATTAAGAAAATGGAACTGTAGCTGTGATTGGCTAAAATCGGGAAAGGAATGTGGTTCGAATGTGAGCAGCCGTTCCTTTCGGGGGAGTGTTGCGTGACATCCCGAGAGACGGCTACGAAGGAGGCTAGTGTAATGTGAGAAAATTTTCCGATGCCAAGAACAAGTCTTGCTGCTGCGTTTTGAACACGCTGTAATTTAGCGATCTGCACTTTTGGTAAGCCAAACAATAAACCATAGAATAGAATAGAATAGAATCTTTATTTATACACGATAAGAATTAAAGCTAAAAAGCTTGTGCGGTCGTGTATTTAAGAAAATAATATCTAGCCAATTAAACTATTAATTATACTAAGACACATTTCAAACTAGATAAGAAATAATAATGCAGTAAAACATTCGATTTTCCTCTTAACTTAAAAATACTTGTAATCAGTTAATCTATTCCTAGCCGTCGAACCTGATAAACTAGTAAAAGTAAAGCTTGTGAAGTGATCATTTCTCCTGAGTAGCCTCCTAAGATTCTTAAGGGCGTAAATACCTACATTTTTGACATGACGGTTAACATAGTTCCATAGCACCGAACCTCTATATGCTTAAGAGTCCTTTAACAATCTAGTGTTGAATATAGGTATGGTTATAATTGCTTTTTGGTCTCTTATTGAATAGCTACATTCGCGCCTTATGAATATGCTATTAATTAGACTGAGGTGGTGAGACTTTACTGACTTGCTCTATAAAAAAGGTTAACTATTTGAAATTTGTATTCTAAATTGATCGTATCCCATCCTGAAACGTTGAGAGCTACATTAGATGCCGTATCTTTGGATAAGTTGTAGACAGTTTTTGCTGCTCTACAGTGAAGTTTCTCAGTTGAGTACAGAAGATCCGAATCTGTACACGAACCCCAAAAGATTATACCATACTTCACAGAAGGTAATATTACACTAAAATAAAACTTTAAAAGAACATTTTTCGCCAAGAACCTTGAGCGCTTCAATAAGTCTATTTTTTTCGCAAAGTTTTTCTTTAGTTCTAGCACATGCGGTATCCAAGTAAGCTTGTCATCTACAATCATTCCAAGAAGACGCGATTTTTTGCCATAGCCTAAAACAGATTTACCCAAAAATATAGGAGGTAGCGGTCCTATAATGGTTGGTGTACTAATTAACATGACTTCGCTCTTAGCCGGGTGAGGTGTTAAGCGATTCTATAGGCACCACCTGTAGACCTCTCGCAGAGCACAGTTCAT